TGGACGTGGTTGTATAGATCAGATATTCACACTACGTCAGGTTCTAGAACACAGACACACATTCAGACGCCCCACAATGGTAGTATTTCTCGACCTCAAGGCAGCATCCAACTCTGTTGATCGTGAGGTTCTATGGCAGTGTTTGTCATTGAAAGGAGTACCAAAGAAGTACATTAACCTTATAAAGGCTCTCTACTCGAACACAACTGGTCGAGTGAGAGCTTATGGCGAACTGTCATCAGAATTGATTACCTCAAGTGGTGTTCGTCAGGGCTGTCCACTCTCCCCATTCTTGTTCAACTTTGTGGTCGACGTACTTTTAGAGATAACACTCTCCTCATCTAAATTTCCAGGGGTTGAACTTTTACCGGGAGGTTCACTTGTTGACTTGGAATATGCCGATGACATAGTTCTGTTTGGTGAAGACGCTGACAAAATGCAGAGTCTTCTGACCACTCTAAGCAACAATGCAGGTAAGAGTAGAGGATATTCGTAGGCTACTAGTATTTGATCATAGGTGTCTTCGAAACATTGCTCGTATATCATGGGACCATCGAGTAAGTAACTCAGTTGTTAGGAAACGGGTACTAGGTAAGGATGGAAAATCAATTGATGACGTAGTGAAACTTCATCAGTTGAGATGGCTGGGACACGTGTTACGTATGCCCAACGACCGAGTGCCTCGACGTGCTATGTTCAGTGGTATAGGAGTAGGTTGGAAGAAAGCTAGGGGCGGCCAAACCAAAACATGGCACAAATCCAAGAAGTCACTGATAAGTGAACTGAGTCATGTTGGTAGGTGTAGACTACCTGGTTGGGGACCACGAGATGATAGCAACCGATGGTTAGAGACCCTGAATGACATGGCTCAAAATCGTTTGCAATGGCGCAGGTGCATCCACTCTCTGTGTTCTCCCAAATTCTAATCTTCTGAATTCTTCATGTCCCTTTTTTCCTCTTTCCAAATTTCTTTCACTGGATTATACTCCTTAAATAACATCTGCAAACCCTAATCTTTCCGATTACTGCTTATACTCTTATTACCTCTACCACTATGGGATTCGAATCGACAACTGCATCTCTGTGCTAATGTGATGTGGCAACTCGAACTGATGTACGTAGGTACGAAGTTCTACGTTGTTACTGACTGACTGACTGACTGATAGTCTATTTGAGTCCATTGTTGGTTTGGTGTAGGGGGTCGCCAAGTTAGACGATGTCTCTCCTTATGCTTAAAATTTGTGTTTGCTAAAAATAAACGATTGTCTGAGCACAGTTGCAGCAGACGGTCACCATTATCTGTTCGCTGTGTCGGAATACTAAAATATCCACCTAAATGCCTTTCTGTTTGGTTTAAACTACTTATCTGAGCATTAAAGTCACCCCCAACGAGTACTATGTCTCAGAGTTTAGCTTTCTGAAGAAGTTCGGACAGCTTTCTGTAAAATTCACCTTCCACTTCATCTGAGCTGCAGTCGGTGGGAGCGTAGGCAGAAACGACGAAAAGGCAACGACGTGTGTCCCTATCCTTCCGAGTTCTTACGTAGCCGTTTAGCCGAACAGCACATAGACGACTGTTGACGGGGATCCACTCTAGCAGTGCTTGTTCGGCCCTCATGCTTAGTGCTATGCCTATACCTGCCAGTCCACGAGAACTGGCCATCGGGTCACCAGATACACGGATGGTGTATCTCGTTGGCTCTCCGTTTTGCCGAGGTGAGGTCAAGTGAATGACCACACTGGAATCCTGTATGCGTGTTTCGGAGACACAGCATACATCAATGGTACGAGATTCTAGGGTTTTAGCCAAGGAAGCCTGCTGACCGATTTGACATAGGGTTCGTACGTTGAAGGCTCCAATGTGTAGTTTGGAGCGAGGTTTCAGTAGACCTGGGACAGTGTTTTGAGCACTAGAATCGTTGGCCAGGGTGACACTTGAGGAGGAAGCCGAAAGAGGAAGTTTGGGGTTGAAAGTCGAGGTGGGAGGAATGATAGGAATTGAAGAGGGAGTTTGATTATGAATACAGTGGTCTTGAGTGCTGTTAGAGGTATGAGGGCGGTTATCACTTCCCGGTTGCCCATACCGTGGAAGGGTTCTTCTGGAGGTACCTGAAAAGGAAATTGGATTAGTGTTGGTCTTGACGACCTGGGAGCGTGACCGCAGAGCCCAAGGGACAACTGCTTGAGGCCGGTCGCGCACGGCCTTTTCGTGGGAGGTTTTCGACGTGTTAGCTCCGTTCTTCAAAGGGCCTTACCGCCGGAGACGGAAATCCGTGAGGTAAGGTGAGGTGTGACATTTTTCGGGTCGACCTTTTCTAACCCCACCCCTCCTTGTGGGAAGGCAGCATCGCTGTCATGCTGGTTGTCCGAGGGAAACACCTTACTGCTGTCACACCTCTGTACAGTCAGCAGTACGACTTCGCCTTCGGACCTTGGGTTTGTTGCTTTTAGTCTTACCGTTCACCAATCGACCTGCCTGGCATGGTAGAACCTGCAGGAACGTATGTTCCAGCCAATATAGCTCGGTTGGGTCATCACGATAGGCAAGCCCGACCACCGCGTCAAGGTAGTAACAACAGTCGAGCAATCCGCACTTAATCAGTTGGCAATCAGTGTCCGTATGTACGGTATGTGCTTTACACCTTCGAAGTACAAAGTACTTTTACAAGACTGGCAGGATTCTGATCATGTACTCACTTTGGGTGGTGAGCAGGTAGAAGTAGTCGGGAATTTGTGTACCTGGGTAGATGCATAAGTGCTGGTGGTGGCGTGAGTGATGAGATCAATGCACGTATAGTGAAAGCCAGAGCGGCTTATGCCAATCTGGGCCACCTTTGGCGCCTTCGTGATGTTAGTCTGACTGTAAAAGGTCGAATCTACAACGCGTCGGTGAGTGCAGTTTTACTCTATGCTTGTGAAACCTGCCCTCTCCGAGTTGAGGACGTTAGACGACTCTCTGTGTTCGATCATCGCTGTCTCCGAAGGATCGCTGACATCCAGTGGCAACACCATGTCAGTAATGAAGAGGTTCGGCATCGTGTGTTCGGGCGCAGAGACGATAGTTCAATTGGTGTCACCATCTCGAAACATCGACTTCGGTGGCTTGGACATGTCCTACGAACGTCGTCCCAGAGAATTCCACGTCGTGCATTATTTGCCGACGCGGGACTGGTTGGAAGAAGCGGAGAGGTGGTCAGTGCATGACATGTTGTCGCGGAATGAAAAAAAGCTGCAAAGGACTGGCTTCTGTCGGTCCTTCACGACTTCATGCTTGGGGTCTGAGAGATGGTGCAACACAGTGGCTAGAGACGTTATCATATGGCTCAGAATAGAAGCCAGTGGCGATCCTACTGTAATCTTCTTTTACTTTCTTCATAAAAAGTGGTTGTATCTTCCTTAACTGAAAGAATTCTTCTGGTTGTACCTTTCTGTTTCTCGCATTATTATTATTATCATTACACTACCATACACTAAGCTGTGGTCGTTATTGTTCTTTTTTTATTTCTTATACGCACCTTACCTTCTTTCTTACTCCCCATTCTCATTGCTTTGTGTGGCACATGTATATTTGGTGCCCCCGTGTAGCAATATTTGTGTTCAAATAAATAAATTGTCTGAATAATTAATAATACTAATAAACCACAGAAAATAATGCGGTCATGTGAACTTTCAAACATAGGTAAACAATTGTCAGACGTTTTTCAAGTACATTAGTGGCAAACAAAAGTGGTTATTCTAATTTGGAATTCCCTAGTTAGAGAACAGAGGAATGAAAGATCGTCCGAATATTAGGATCAGCGGTAACTTGTATGGATAGAGACTGTCAAAAGCCAACTTTTTGACCTCTTTAGTATTCGTCTCGTGCTAATGAGATGTGGCTAACCCACACTAGTGCCAGACTACATTGCTTACGATTGAGTTGCTACTATTTCAATAATCATATTTTGGACATGAATCTTTCTATCCCTTATTATATCAGTAAAAATCAGAACTGTAGAATACGAGACAAGAATGATTAGAAAATGACGAGGGTCACTTGGGGAAAGACGTGACAACAAGCAGAGAACACTTAGTTTACCTAGGTAAAATCCAATGAGGAAATATAGGTAATATTTTCTATCAAAACGCGATATGCATTTCAGCAACCATTGACCCATATATTGTCTATTGCACCTGCCACTAGAAGTGAGCGTTTTTGTGCTCTATTGGGAAACTTGACTCTGGATTCACATTTCAGTCTCTGCCTAAACTTACGTCGAATAGCCCAATTTTCTCCTAAATGTTGCCTACTTTGACACTATTTCCTGAGAGAAACTTCCTTACGACGCAGTTTGACTGGTTTGGAAGTTCGATTTTCACGTAATAAACCATCTATTTGCAAATATTTAAACAGTAGTTTGAGAGGATATCAGCATTGGTACATTGATGCAAGTTTAGGCGGAGATTGAAGTGTGAATTAAGAGATATTTCTTTAATGAGATATAGGAAAGGATTCACCATTTCCCCTAATGCATATGTAAAAGACATCTGTAAACATTGTGGCTGAAGAGCATATCAATTTTTGCTAGAGATTCCTACTTTTCGTTCCTTGCTATCGCTTATTTATAATTATACGATTGTAAACGAAAACAACCCAATCACCCTATTTTCCGGAAATTTTTTATCTACCATGGGTGAATTTTGGGGGAAACTGTAATAGAAAACTATGCGATAATTTCGGGTTTTTTGTGCCATTTCCCCGAAGTTTTCCCAGGCCTGAGAAAAATCCCCGAAGTTTTGGGAAATTTCGGGTTTCGTCTATTAATTCCCAAGAATATTACCTAATAATAGGGAGATTGGGAACAGTTGCCAGCACTGCATGTTTAGTTTTCGCGAACCATATTTTTAAACCATATTGTTTGACCAAGCTTCTCTGATTGTAAGACAGTTTATTACTGAATGTAACACCCTAAATTCTACAATATTTACACCAAAGTCAATATACATGAAACGTTGCTGACCTGTAGCCAGGTTTTTTTAAACATGATAGAAGGCTACATGTCCAATGCCCAATACCTTTGTGACCAGTTCGTTCAAACCAATGTTCTTTTTTACATCTGTGACCTGAGTTTAAGGATTAGTTTTGATTTTTTTCGGTATACATAAGGGCCAGAGTGATCATTCGATTATAATAACCCTGTTTGACTTCCTGCATCCAAATCTTGTGACGAGCATGTACGAACCTGATTGAGTTCTTGGCTCTCACCATGGTGAGAGCCAAGAACTCAGTTGTTATTTCTATACGGTTCCAGGTCTTTGGCGACATCCAATTAGCAGTGGTTAAGCCACTAAACTGCAATAGTTTTAGTCACTTTGGCAATTATTTGCTGGTCAATGTATTTTGTATATCTTGGCCGTTTGGAACAGTATGCATTCAGGTGGATTGATTACACTTGTCTCTGATCATAAGGAATGCCAGAACCCGTAACCTCTGCATAATGAGGAATTGGTTTGCTTGTTAGCACTGAAAATAGTTAGATGTGAATTGGAAGAGTGAAAAAGTTCAAAACGAACATGCGACAAGCAAATCAATTTTATAAATTGTAGCGGTAAATAAATCCCCAAAATAAATAGCCCTAAGTTTTCGACATTGGATGCTGACCATATGTTTTAGTGGACTCATCTAGCTGAAGGCGCTCGGTCAGGCATCCGCACCAGATCACGTGTGGTAACGCCGTGCTCAACATCAACCGCAATCGCTAGCCAGATGAGATCAGAGAATTCCGATATATTGGTCATCGCCAAATATACTCTTCCGATCTCCTCGACTCTGTGTTTTGATTTCTCTGGGTGGGAACGAAATAGATTAGGTGTTACTGGTAGAAGCGTTGTCAAACACTGAATACCTGTGACATCATCATTGGTGAAACCGACGTGATCTGGTACACCTATTTGCAACTGTGAGTCTGTTCCTTTTTGGGATTTTTATATATCATTGCCTTATTTTTTTATTTTTTTAAACATTGTGATTTTTTTCGTATTTTTTCTTGGATACACATATTTTTTCCCCTCGTTCATTATCGTACTTCATATTTCATCATGACTGAACAGACACCTAAAGTACTCAAGCTTAAGACCTTGTCCCCACCTTCGTTTCAACTGATGGCTTTCTGGACCGACAACATCGAAGCTTGGTTTTGCTACGCAGAAGCCGACTTCTCCGAGCACGGCATGATCGACACACGTGCACAATTTCTCGCAGTAGTCAAGGCACTACCGCGCGAATTCAACAGGTACGTAACACCTAGTATGTTTACTAGTGATGTTTCCGATCCTTACGAAATCTTAAAACGCTCGATTCTTAAACGAGGAGATCTAACTGATCGACAAAGGTTAGATCAACTCTTCAATAACATAGACCTGCAACACGGTTCTGCGACGGACATGTTGCAACGGATGAGAGAGGTTATAGGCCCAAGAACTTTCGACGAAGGTCTATTCAAACAACTCTTCTTGTCAAAACTTCCCCAACAGGTGCAAGCAGTTCTGGTCTCGTTCCAGAACAACGCCTTAGACGAGCTAGCTGTATCTGCCGACAGCATTTTAGAAATTACGAAACCTTCTACTACCGAGGTATTTTCAGTCAAAGAAAAACCTCAAACGACTCAGAATGATATAACCGACTTATGTCACACACTCACGCGTTATCTTAGTCTTCGTACCAACCGTAAGAGATCGCGCACACCACGTAGAAGCATTTCTCGTAAGCGATCTGTCTCTAGACCACGAGAGACAGATAACCCAGACTGGTGCTGGTATCATAACCAGTATGGAAAGCTTTCCAGAAATTGCAGAAAACCCTGCAATTTTCCCAACACGAAACCGACTGATTCGAAAAGCAATTCGGGAAACTTCCAAGCCGGCACGCGTTAACGGCAACCGTAGCCGGCGAACAAAGCCGTCTGTTATTCGTCACAGATGTGACAACGAGAGTTCGCTACCTCGTCGACACTGGCGCAGAAGTTAGCGTTCTCCCAGCGAATCCTAACGACCGACTTCACGAATCGACCCTAAACTTACAGGCGGCAAACGGAAAACCGATCGCTACGTATGGCAAAAGGTACGTTTACCTTACG